ATATCGGATATGCAGGAGATATTCGAAAATAAATATTTGTAAATTTAAAAAACAAATACTTTGGTAATTGTAAGGCATTTCTTTACCTCCAAATTAAATTTTTTAAATGAAACTTGCGAACGAACAAGATCTAATGCAAGGTTTCCCAATTGTACGTGTATAGCATCACGTGTCGATAAAACCTATCTCGATTTCTTAGTATAGGTACTCACAGTATGTTTTACATGAATGCTTTTTTTATAATAAGAATTACTGTAATATAATTTGATGTATATTAAATATTGTATATTAAAAATTTATATTAACATATATAAAAATTTGTTAAAGAGTTTTTTTTCTTTTAATATTATATTATTACTTTGATGTACAGTATAATAAATGAAATTTTCAATTAACAAAAAACTATCTAAAAACGCTATATAAACTTTACAGATATACAGTACATACTTTATTTTTAAATATGCAGTACGTTATTATTTATTTATTATATTTGTATACAGAAAAAAAAATATATTAAAAAAACGATATTTCTTATATAAAATATACAACAAATTAATATTAGTTTGTTCAAAGTGATGATTTAAACTGTGTCAAAAAAATATTTCGAATAATACAAAATAATAATAATGTTAAATAATAATACTTATTTAAAATTATAAAAAAATATAATATGAATTTTATAATATTAATTAGAAAACTTTGGTTCAATTATTGCTTTTTTTTAAAAAAAAAATCTTTTTAATAATTCTAAATTCTAAATTCAAACTTTTTTATTTTTTTATTTCTTTTAATATTACAAATAATAAAAAATATATTAAACTGATAAAAATAAGACTTTTAATATAAAAAAAATAAATTAATCAGTTTTATTTTTTTTTTTAAATTGCATTAAAATAATCTATATATATTTATTACTTGTTAATATTTATCTAATTGCTAATAATTAAATAACTTATTTAATAAGTTAATATACTGTATATATTTACTTGTAATAATTTAAGTATTGACCTATTATATAACACTAATTATATGTTATAATTATTGAATTACTAGTTATTTAAAGCTATTTAATATGAATTTTATAAAAATAAATCATATTATTAATTATATTTATATCAATATTACTATTTTTTTTAAAAATCTACAATTAGATTAATATTGTTTTATTTATTAAATTATAGAATTATTAAAAGTATGAGAATATATATAAAGTATAAATTTTCTTAATTCAATAGCTAAAGCCTCTAAATATAATTTATAGAAATAATATATTATTTCTTTAATAAATAGAATTAAAATTTAAAACTTTTAATAGGATTAATACCTATAGATTACTTTTATAGTTACAATTATAAACTCCAAATTGTGTTTGTTTTTTTTGCAAAAACTATATAAAAAAAATTTTTTTAAAAATTTAGAAAAAAAAATAATACAAATATATACAAAAGAAAAAATATCAAAAAAAAGAAAAAAAAACTATTATTTATTTTAACTATTATTGAAAAAAATTATTTTAGTAAACAAAAACCAAACTTTTTATAATTGCTATTATATTCATTTCTTATTACTTATAGTTAATCAAACTGTTTAATTTCTATTGAAGCAATTATATTTAAAAACATTTAAAAATATTTTCAAAAAAATATTTTTTAAAACTTTATACTTAAAGATTTTTAATTAGAAAAAATATTGGTTTTCTATTATTAATTTTTTTCTCAAATTATATCTTTTAAAATTATTGTTTCATATAATTAATAACAATTTTAAGATTTCTTTCTTCAACTATTTTTGAAATAAATATTATTATTTTAATTTATTATTAAATTGAAATAGAATTTAAATTTTATATCTACTTTCTTATTTTAAAAAAAACAAATAAATAATTGTTCTTTCTTATTCATAACTTCAACGTTTACCTAATACTTTCATATTATTTTTTTAATCAAAAACTATTCAACTCTTTCAAAAATCAATCACATTATCAATTTGATATTATATAACTAAAAATATATAGAAGGATATATCTTGTTTACTTTTTTGTAGCTAATATAATCAACTAATTTTTAATCTTAATCAATTATCTTTTAGGAGATCCAGTATAACCAAAAATTTAAAGTCAAATTGAAATAGACAAAATTCTTCAAAAAACTAAAAAAAAGAAAGCATACTTGAGAACAAAAAAGTAAAAAGTTAAAAAGATAATAGAAAAACTAAAGATTTTTTTTTTTATTTTTTTGAATTTTGAATCTCTTAAAAGTCTTTGAAAAGTTTTTTTTTTTGGCAATTTTCTTTTTAAAAAAATGTTTTTGCCATAAATCTCTTAGATAGATTTTTATATTTAATTGTAAAAATAAATAAAAAAAAATATTTTTTTAAAAAAAAGTAAACAAGTATATTTACTACTTATTTTGTTAATTTACAAACCAGTATTGTTAAAAAAAATATATATAGATTTTATTATTATAAAAATATAAAATTTTTTAAAAATATCTATTTTTTGGAATAGTAAAAGAATCAATAAAAAAATGTTTTATAATAAATTAATTAAATATTATTATTTTAAATTTTATTTATTTTTATTTTAAAAATATATAATTGTTAAATATGCCAATGAATCAAATTTGTATATTATAATTTGATTTCTTTTGTTAAATTATAAAATATTAAATAATTGAATAATAAATTTATAACAATAAATTGATTTTTGTTATTGAATTTAATTAAATTATTATTATATTGAATTGTTATAACAAAAAATTATTTGTTAATTATTATTCTATTTTATTGAATTTTATAATAAATTAATTAAAAAATTTATTGTCAAATATTATATCATGATAATCAAATTATTGACAAATTTTTAAAATACAGTATATTAAATGTTAAATAGTATAAATTAAATAATAAAGCTTTAATATGTATTTTTATAATAAATTTAAAAATATTTTGTTATAATTTAATAATCAAAATGATATAAATGTGAACTATTGAAAAAAAATATTAAAAAAATTTTTCAAAAATAATTATAAAAAAATTTTTGTAAGAATTATTTAAATCTAATAATTTACAAATTAATAAACAAATTAATTAACAAATATTATAATTATTTAAAAAATCAATTCTATATTTAATATTTTATAAATTTTGTTGTTTTCTTGGATTTATTAAAAATATATAAAAAGTTTTACATTATATTGTATGCATAACATGTTTAAACAATTGTTTAAGATTTTATTTAAAAATTAAAAAATTTTAAATTATAATAAACTACAGTATTTTCATATGATCATAATGCATTAATAGAATTGATAATTGAATCATCCAATTTATTCAAGTCTAATAAATTTATTGGTAGATCGTATGCATTTCCGATTTTCAGACAAAGAAAAAAAACTGTTTAGTATGTGTTTCAAAATATTTTCAGTCATTTGAGTAGAGACATTCTTTAGTTAAAAATAATTCATAAATAAAAAATTTAACAAAGACCATGCTTTCCTCGGTATGGAAAATGCACTGATGCCGGAATGCGAGTTCCTCGGTTGATAATTAATATTTGATATCCGAATAATTCTTTAAAAGAGATGTGTTCTACGATTCTACATATAGATTATTACAATCAAATCAATCAATCTGATCCACTTTAATTATAATTACTAATATAGGTAGGAGATGTTAGACTGGTACGACATTTGAAGTCCCGATCGTCATGTTTGCGTCATCAGTTTTTTTATACCATTATGTATGCTATGCGCGTACACATAAAATATGCTATGACGTAATTTAACCATTTGATATCAATTTGAAATCACCGCCATTACACTTTATCATTCTAGGCTTTAGTTAATAATTACAAGCTCCTTCTTTTCTTCTTGTCAAGTCAACAAACGAAATAGGTAATTTATTTTTTAATGAGCACGACAGAAACTTTTCTGCCGTGGTCTATCAATCACGTGACAAAACATTAAGATTTAATTTGTGCTACATTGTCACATGACAAAGAATGCAAATATTACTCCGTAAGTTTGGAAAACGAAAAATAACTCCTTTCTTCCATTAAATTTTCTCAAGAAACGAATAAATTCTACGTTTTTTCAACAGGATAACAAAAATTCTGAAATATGTCTTCACGCTGGGGTGGCACTCCGCAATGTCCACGCTGTGAGAAAGCAGTATACATGGCAGAACAAGTAAGGCATATCTCTGGCATTCGCTTCGAAATTCTGAAAGTCATTAATATGAGTTTTTACAGGTTATCGGACCCAATGGTCCTTGGCATAAGGCGTGTCTCACATGCATTGTAAGTATGCTCGGTAACGTCTTCAATGTATTTTACAAATGCTAAATATTGTTTGTTCTTGTTTCATAAGGACTGTAAGAAACGACTGGACTCTTATATTCTCGCAGAGCACGAAGGGGAGGTAGGTTTAGATTGAAGGTATTTGTTTTTATGCACAATGGAACCCCGTTAAAAAATTATTCTCGATTCCGTTACAGGCTTATTGTAAGACCTGTCATGGACGTCGTTTTGGTCCAAAAGGTTTGCAATTTAATTTAACCTTATGACAGTTCATTAATCAACCTTAAATAAAGAAAATAACAATGAAAAATAAACGAATAAATAAAAGGTTACGGGTTTGCATCAGGGACGTCTTTTCTAAGTACCGATAAGCCCACACCTAAAAATAACGAAAATGCGACAGATACGGATAAATCCTCACAATCTGTACCAAAATCACCTACGAGCCCTTTATCTCCTTCGTACGGGTTCTTTAGCACAAGACCTCAATCTCCGAGAAACGTTAAACGCAGCTGGACTCTTCCTGCCAACAATGATATATGTCCGCGGTGTACAAAACCCGTTTACGCCGCTGAAGCGGTAAGACCTCTTTGTGAATTATGCGGTTTGTATTTCCACGAGTAACATATAATGCATATTCGTTTGATAGGTTTTGGGTGCCGGTGTGAAATATCATAAGTTGTGTCTACGTTGCGTGACCTGCAGTAAACTTTTGGATTCCACTAATATGACAGATCGAGATGGAAAGATTTACTGTCGTTCTTGTTACTCTAAAGAGTTCGGCCCAAAGGTGATTATTATCGACAATTATTAATACAATTGTCAAAAGATCATTAATCTTTGCGTGTGTAAGCATTATTAGCATTCCTAACAAAAAAAAAAATTATTTTTTTATAATGTATTATTAGGGTTATGGATACGGAGGAGGTTTGATAATTTAACTTGATTGTTATTAAATTTCCAAAGTTTTTTTTTTATCTAATCAAAGATATTCAATGATTATAGGTTCGGCATTTTTGACCACGGAAGGAACGGCTAGATGAATAGCATCGTAATTATCCACCTATCGTTTAGCATATTCTGAAAGAACAATGGACTTTCTCTTTTTTAGATGAATCTACGGAAATATTGGGAACACTTATAACTGATGTGATATAATTAATATAAACATCTTGTGTATTTTATGATCTCGTATTAATATGCACATAATAAAAAATGTATAATTTAAACGTTATCAGAAAGTTATATTGATAAATGCTAGTATATTATATAATCTGATGCAGAAATCTTTTGGGTTCTTAAAAATACTATGGCTAGATAAATATAGTTGAACAATTATCAGTACATAATTTGAAGTCTCTATTATATCCTATAAAGTACTTTTCTAAAATCTTTTACAACCTAAAAAAAAATAAAAAATCTATGATATTATCGATGGATAAATATGAGAGTTTTCAGTGAAGATTTTCCATTACAAATAAAAAATTATTTCATTAAGATTATTACACTGCATAGGAGAATATGAAAAATATTTCAAATTATGAAATGTTCCGGTCCAGCCTTTACGTCTATCAATTCTATCAGGAAGATTCTAGTTCAGACCCATCAAATGATAGGCCAATTGTACAAGTGCAAAAATTACCTGAAAACAAATAATTTTAACTGATCAAAAATGTGCGACTAAATTTCGATAACAACAAACAAACAATTAACTTACAGGTTGCCACACAACGAGATAGCGCACGCCGTCTAAGAGACTGAGATAAAGCTGTTGTTGCGTGTCCCACCTAACAAATAATAATTGAACTTAGCTCTGATTCAATAATTTGATTAATTATTATAGAGTAAAACTTACGGATTGGTTTTGAATTCTTTCATATCAACCTTTTCCTTGCTAGACATATTACAATGAGGGATGGTGTTAGATGAATTGACAAGAGATTTTAAAAAAGAATCGCTGCATTAAAACAATAGATGGCTACCAATAAGGACAAATATCTTTTTTTCCTATCAAACACCATCCACGTATGCATTCATCGTGAAAAACGTGTCTACATGCTAGTTGAAAAACGCGTTGCTTTCCTGGAATTTGAAGGGCATGCTGTTTGTCTTCTGTTAATTGCGAATCATGTCGATTTTCTCCCGTGAATCGAACGACCTGCTGTTTTTCTCCAATCTCACTCGCCTCGGTCGCAGCCACGCCGCATATAGCACATATGTTTGCCCTAAGATGTTTACGCGGAAATCCATCTTTATTGTAATATCCGAGAGTAGATGTCATACTATCGGTACATATTTCCACAAAGTCTCTACTTAACACGCTAATAGGACCAAACAACTTAGTCAATAAATGAACAAATTATACTTTAAATATAATCAGTGAAAATTTTTAATTACCCGAAATATAACCCATAACACAAAAGTAAAAGCCCGAATTCGGTAACTTCAGGACCGGTGTAGATTAATTGAATAATTCCAAAGAATGTAAGCATTATGATGGAGTAACCAGTTATACCCACGGCGTATGAAACTTTGTAAACTACAGAATACCACTTATAAACTAATCTGGTGGGTGCAGTTTTACAGGTGAATTTAGGTGATGATGAGCATAAAATAAATACGTGCAAGATCATAAATGCAAAATCTTCTACCTTGGAGTCTTATGGTCTAAAGGTTTCCTGGACGCCATGTATAAGACTATAAAATCGGTATGATATCTTATTTTTTATGTAAAAATCAACGAACTTTCAAATTATAAACGGATAATAATCAACTACCCCATGAATTAACCAACGAATAACATGTCCAAATAGTTAAAAATCGCCAGAATTTAGCTTGGAATCCAAAAATATACATCGGCATCAACCTTTCAACATATATTCAATTCGTTAAGGATATATTGTTTTTAGAATGTGAACAAGGAAAATACGAAGTTTCACTCAGTACACACCATAAGCCAAAGAGTGTAACCGCCTGGAAGGAACGTTGATGTTTTTGTTTCCAGAAAAGTATCAAAAATTGGAAACTAAATAGTGCACCTAATAAAATAAGAGCCATCGTTCCGTGGTGCCCATTTTTTTCGTACTCTATGTCTGAACTGTATAGTTAAAAATTCCAATTACTTGAGGTCGATTCCTGAGCGAGCTAAAAGAGATAGAAAGTTCATTCGAACCTTGACTCCGTCTGATTTATTGTATTATTTGATGCTATTTCCTCCATCGTAGATCTAGATTCCCTTTTACAGTATAAGAAAGGTATTGTGTTAGATTTTTGAGTTACGTCTGTATATATATACACAAAAATACGAATTCTGATTGGATAATTCATTTAAAGAAATGTAATAATCACACACACAAGTATTGTATTCTTTGAATTTAAAAATGACTCTATTCGGACGTAGGTGGCCCGTACCTCTTTTTGGAACTATGAAACCTTTCATTATTGGATCGCTGGTTGTTTTATATGGTCTTAACAAGATTGAGGATGCAGGACAAGCTAGTGAGTTTCACTGCAAGAGCAGTTGTCGTTTATAACTTCATAAACTCTTTCTAAAACCATCAAATCCTTATATCAACATTCAGCTCCTCCGTTTGACTTGGATCCTCGCAATCCCCGAGGTTTGTATTCAGAAACTAGTTTGATAATAAGCGATGCACATAACTCGTTTACAACCTATATAATATTTACTGTATATTTACTTCGCTTTTGATCAGCACGCCTTAACAAGAAATTGAAAGAAGCACATGAACATTAGCTTTTTTCTTTTTAACAAGCAATAAAACTTCAGAAATTTAATATCCATAATCGTTCGTCAAATTTCATATGTAATTATACATATTAAAAACCATATAGAACCTTATTGCTAATGGATTATTGTTACATGATCAGGTGGTTCGTCTACACATTTTTTCAATTTCTTTCAGTCGAAGAATTGGGATAATAATAGTTAGAAAAAAGTTTATTTTTAAAATGACATAATCTATTTCAATTTTTTGATACTGAGTTTGATCGAGAGTTATTTATCTGAGGTGCAAACAAAAATTGTCTTCTGCGATCAAGCAGTCGTCATTTTTTAAAAAATTATTATCATTATTACAAGTATAAAATCATTGATTTTATTTATTTCCCTATTGTTAAAACAATTTGATTTGTTTTTTTAAATCAAAAGATAAACTGAATACATTGATATTCAACACTCATCTTTAAGCTTATATAATTTTAAAACAAACAGATTGCCAACCATGATTAAAAACAAATGTCGTTATTTTATTTTATTTTGGATCATTAATACAAATTAGAAATGGGTATTTATTTTATTTTTATAAACTTTATATATAATACTGTATATGCTTTCGTAAATATAAAAATTTTTTAATCAAATAAACAAAATAATTAAAATTATTTTAATACATAAAATTATTTAATTAGAATATATAAAATATTATAATCTTGAAATATCACTTATAAGATTAATGTTATTTCCTAATTGTAAAGTACACATTTCTAAAAAAATTTTATAAAAGAATTTTAAAATAATATTTATTTTCAAATCACATTTGTATTTGAACAAATTGGATAATTAAATTTAAATATAAAACCAGATTTTTAAATATTAAAAAAAAAAATCAATTTAAATATAATTTTATATTATAACTAATTTTTTTTTTTTTACAAATTTTTACAAGTTGAAATATAATTTATACTGTATGTATGATCATAATTAAATTTTTAAATTTATTATTTTATAAAATAAAAATAAAAATTATTTTATTATATTAGAAAATGAAAACCATTGTAAATTCAAAAATATCAAGTTTTTTATTTTTTAAAAAAATTATACATATATATATAATTGTCTAAAGCAAAACAAAAAATATTTACGTTCATAATTCTTGATAAACATATAAGTTACATATGGATTCTGTTTATTTGTATTTTTTATTTATAATAATAAAGTTTATATATATATTTTAATAATATTGATTTTCTAATTAAGAAAATAAGCAATAACTTTTACTTGTTTTTTTTAAAAAAAAAAAATCTAAAAATTAAAGAAAAAAAAGTTTATTATTTTTATATACGTATATATTTTAGTTTTTTTTTAATTTTAAAAAAATTTTCATTATGAATTTATAATTATATTGGATTTTTTAAAAAACAATTAATTGAAATTATAAATAATTAATCACATTAACAATTAATAATATACACAAAAAATATTTTATTTTATGATTTCTATTGCATAATACTAAAATAATGATGTAATTAACTATTAAAAAAGTTGAATATGGTCTCTAATTGAAAAGACAATTAAAAAATAACAAATCAAATTAAAGTTGTAAATATATAAGAATGATTTATTATTTTGAATTAATCATGAGATTATTCGTATATTTTAATTTTAAATATTCTTGAATATTATTTTTTCGATAAAAATTAAATTACATGATTGGATATAATTAATGAAATGTAAGTGTAATAATAATATATACTTTTTAATGATAGTTAAAATAAATGATAACTTTTTTATTTTATTTTCTCTATTCTTTATATATTGCACATTCATGATATTTTTATTATTATTATTTTTTTCTCTTTCTCCTTTAATAATTTCTATAAATGAAGATCGATACACTCTAGATTTATGGTGTATAATACTGTAAAGATAAAATTCTGTAAGATATCAAAAATCTTAATTATATCCAATAAGTAAGTAATTTTATTAGTTCCATAAATCCTATCTAAAAGTTAACCGGTGAGTAGGATTAATAGATTTATGCATGCAATTATCTTCTTAATTGTACCATTTCAATACGATTTAATAAACATGTGATGTCCACCTGGTTGTATAATAATAAAAAATTTTTTTAATGTTTGAATAATTTTCATGTATTAGATAAGTTGATGGATACCTTTTCTTAATTTTAGGCCACGATATGAGGCACACAAACTGTTATCTAAGAATTCAAATTGAAAACGTAGGTACGCCTATTGTTACTTAAATAACATGTAACATAAAAAACCCTGAAAATACCTTTCATGAAGCTTTTTCATCCTCTTTCTTTCTCTCGTTCATGGAATTACCCAAATTTACGATAGTTTGATTTTGAGAATTTAGTTCATTGTGCACGTGAACCAACTTTTTTGTCTCGACTTGAAGTCTCTGGAGTATAAAAGATAAAAGTTTTAAGGAATCTTTAGGTAAGTAATTTAAACGTTGATTCCAAACAAGAAATGTAATGATATAAATGATAACTTATGAAAATTTAAGAGGGGTGCATAAGGATCCATCGGTTCTTGCAGAATTTCGATTTTTACGTGACGATCTATTAAATAACTGTTAAGTGAATACGTATTACGTAACTGAAAGATTGAGATTCAAATCACGTGTAAAAAAATTTTTTTTTTATCTTAATACAAGTATTCTACCTTCCTCTTATTGGAAATAAAAATGAGTGCCCTCGATCGGTTTTCTCGACGTCCGATACCAAGAGGTTCATTTTTAACTTTGAAATTCTCATGTAGAAAAGCATCGATGTCGTTGTTTTATTTTCTAACTATCATCATTCACATTTTTTAGACGAGGAAACGCGAGTAAAGGCACAAAGGGTTATTGACGCTCAATTTGATCTCGAAATACTTCTACGCCACCGCGAATTACAAAAAATTAAAGAAGAGCTAAAGAAGGCCGAACTGACCCTCGAAACTTTGAGGCATTGCATTCTGGAACGTGAGTATTTATTTAACTTTACTATTTTTAAGAACTCATTCTGATTTTAAAATTTAGTTTTTTCTTTTCTTTTAATCAGCTACCCCTTCAAATGCCAATAAAGATTCGACCTGCAGTGCAAAAACTTTCAATAAAGTTTCTGAAATTCCTTCGACACGACATTCGACACGTAAAATTTACTCTACCAGAGACAACGATTATTTTTATTATGATCCGTGCAAAGATTTGTATTCACGAAGAAATGATGGAATCTTTGTTAGGTAAAGAGAGATATATATAAATTAATGCGCCATACAACTATCAATATCTGATTAATAGTTATACCACACAGATTATCATGTCCACAGTGTAATCGTGCCAAATTCATCAACGTTCAAGGTTTTCTTAATCACTGTCGACTCTCACATAAAATAGAATTTCCCAACCATGAAGAGGCTCTTCTTAATTGTGGAACTCCGGTGGTACGATATACATGCAATATCAAAAGTTAATTTTCAATTAATAATTCCCAATCTAATTTATCTAGGACGAAAGTTTGATCCCCCCGGAGCATCCTGCAAGATCGAGAGTTATCACGAGACCTCCATCACTTAGAACAATATTAGGGCAAACAAATCTATCGAAGAATCTTACAAGGTAAATCAAAAGTGTATTTAGCTCGAACGAATATATATATATATATATATACTAATTCTTTATTTTTCTGTCGTAAAACTAGGGTATGCGTAGTTTGTTATTAAAATTATAAAGATTTGTCACAAAAGGTTATATTGACGAGATGTTAATAAATAATAAAATTAATAGCCTAAAATTAAAGTATTCGAGGAGGAAATTGATGTTGGATTGGAAGAGTCGTTACACAAAAATCAAGAGAGCGCTTTTAATGTTGATTCACACAATTCGCGTTCGCTCGACAATCAGGAGTCGGTAAACTACAAAAAAAATTTTCCATCAACTTTATCACACAAGAAATCACCAGAAGATCATACGATGACACTTACCCCGGATGAGTCGGCCACGGATTATTCTTCTTATGTTGATGATGGTGATGATGAAACTGGAATTATCACAACCGATATGAAATTTTCTCCTTCACATAAGTCAACAACATCACGTTGTTCAACCGATCAAAACCAATTCAATAAAACGATCGAGAACATTGAATATAATTTACCAGAAAAATCATTTTTGGGAGGTCACAGATCTTCATTTGGTACTATGGAGATTCAAAGGGATTCTGAAGATGGACCAAATGATCAGATCAACACTCTCATGGACATTGACACTGATAATACTGATAATTTAGCTGCTGACACGTCCTCAAAGAAGCCGCGACACGAATTGTCGAATGACATGGTAATTGATACAGGAGCTTTGTTTTTTTTATAGGGATAATGTATTAATAGGACGAATTATTACTCGTCTAATTTTGAACCTTCTACATTTTCATTACAAATCATCAGGTCATAAGTAATGCAAATATGCAAAAAGAAATTACTACAATATCCGCAGCTTACACAATTCCGGCACGTAATAGTGTTTTTGATCCGATAGATCACGGGTCAAGGTTCTACGTTAAAAGGCGCATTGTCGTTGGGAACGTTTCAAAATGGATCGCTCCAGAAAAAAGGGATCCAAACTTATTCAAGTATACACACAAATGGATGGTTTATGTCACTGGACCTCCTTATGATTTGAACATTTCTCCCTTTATACAAAGAGTTCGTTTTTTCCTCCATCCAAGTTATCGCCCTATGGATATAGTTGACGTAACCGAACCACCTTTTCAACTTATTAGATATGGATGGGGTGAATTTCCTATAAGAATACAGCTGATATTCGTGGATAAGAAGAACAAGCCCGTGGATGTAATTCATGTACTTAAGGTATGATTATTACCTTTATTTGTTTTTTATGTTGGATTTTACGCTCGTTCACATTTCATGACATTCTGTATGCATATGTAGCTTGATGAAGCTCACAGCGGCAAGCAACGACTAGGTAATGAACGTGCATTTGACCTAGAATTGGATAGAAATACACATTTCGTTTCTCCTAGATCGAAAAATCAATTGTCACATACGGTAAACAAAGTCCAAGATCGTCCACAACAAGAATTATCCGATGTGAACCATTTTGATATTGGCATTGGCAATGAAAGTTCAATGAATAAAGAACAGAATGACAATTTTGAGTCCGATGACTTGAAAATATTGGAATCATTATTGATTGAAGCAGCTCAGCAATATCCATTGATCGTTTCCTCATCTTTACTATTTTCACATTCATTGACCTTTTCTTATTCAACTGCAACATCTGCGAGGATGTTCCTTGAATGGGATAGTGAACATCGTAAAAAAACAGAGTTACATAGGGCTCGTTTAATACGCTTATATATTCTCTCATTAGCACAAAAAATGGGCGATCCAAGTGTCATGCAGGCCGCGGTTTCCGTGACCACGAAGCAAGTTATTTCCTGGTGCAGGGATAAAGGATACACTCCACTAGATCGTGATTCTACTTATTCAAATTCTATAACAAACGATATTGCTTCGAGTTCTCACCTGTTTGAAAAAATTCATCCGACAACTACTGCGCCAATAATTCCCACTTGGTGTAAGTGTTGTGGTTGTCCAGAATCTTGGCATGAAACTTCTATTTCCAACTCAACTAAAAATGTCGCTGTGCCTCTTCTCCCTTACAAATGCAAGAGAAGGCCTCACTTTCTAGACACTAAAAAGACAAGGCTGCGGAGCTTGACGATTGCGCAAGATTTCTTAGGCGAGCTAGTTGAAGTTGATCAAGGTAAGTTTCCTATTAAATTATCCATCATCTGCAAATTATATTGATTAATATAACTATTAAATAGTAGGTGAAGAGGCAATAAATATTGAGGATATTGCTACCGACAGACCTTTCAATAATTCATCTCACTTGAATGGTATGCCAAGTATTGATTCAAAGAAAGATGTAAAAGAGTTTGGGGATTGGTATAAAACGGATATGACGGATGTATCTGACCCTCAAGGGATTGATTGGATCTGGAGCGTGATTGACCAACTTAAATTGAGTGGTGTGATGGCTACTAAATTAATATGCGACAGCGGCGGCAAGGTTCTAGTCGAAAATGGTGATGCTAACATTGCTATAAAACAGCGCCTGGAAACCGGGAATCTAATATTTCAGGTAATTTTTGACGAGAATTATTTTTTATCTATTTATAAAATATTTAATATATATATTCGCATACAGTTGACGAAAGTATTTTTAAAAGACTTGATAAACAAATCAGTAAAGATTTATAATGCAGAACTACTCGATGATCAATTTGCTCCTGATAATAGAAGCTTTAACAATTTTACATTTGATACATATTTACGACGGTCAAGAAAATTACTTGTCCCCTATCATTTGTATCAGGCAGTGCAAACAAATTTGGACACTTTTGACTTTTTGAATGGTGAGGGCTTGGCCTCCGACAGAAATTACGATAAATCCCAAATAAAGAAAACTGAAACCCTTTAGACAGTCTTGTTAGATTATCGTGTGTTCTCACGAGTAGGGGGCTGAATGCATTTACAAAAAGCTTATAGTAGGAAACTCCACTTGATTAATATTTGTTGTGTATCCGAAAATAGATTCTGAAGAGCAAACTTGCATTCTTTTATTCTTGCGGCTTTTAAAAAATTATTGTAATATTTTGGTTTTTTTTTGTAAATTAATTATAATTCAAAATATCGAACAAAATTTTTTATCTATATTAATTTCTTAATAATTAGTGATTAAATTTAATTTAAAATTTTTACAGTTAACAAAAATAATATATACTGTATATAAATTCATGTCAAACAAATTATAATTATTGAAAAAATAAATTATATAAACGGCAAAAAAAAAAAAATAAAGTTATTAATTCTAATAATTTTTCTTATACATATATTTTAATAGTAAAAATAATTTATATACAACTTGAACAAAATTATTATATATTATTTATTTATTAATTACACAAAATTTTATGAATAATTTTATTTAAAATTTTAATATATTATATTTTTAATAATTGCTTTTATTCTTTATAATTTATTTTTTATATAATTTATTAATTGATTTTTTGAAATTTTACTTTACTTATTTATTTTATTTATTTATAAATATTGGTTGAACTTTGCTTTTATTAAAATCAATATTATATACATGTCATGTTTATTTATTTATGTTATTTGATCAATTAATTAAATTTTGTCTAGCATATTATTTATTTATTTGATTTGATTAATTAATTTGATATTGCTTGATATACTATTTATTTTTTTATTTAATCAATTACTTGAATTTTACTTAATAGAATATATATATATGTTTTTTTTTTCAATAGGTAAACATTATTTTTTTATTAATAGTATTATACTGAAAAGTTATATACATAGTAAAAGAAACAATATTTCTTGTATATGAAAATATAACAAGTTAAATACTAGCTTGCTTATATATTTATATCTAACTAATATTGAAAAAAAAATTTAAAAATAATATTATATATGCTAAATATAGCTAAATAGTAGCTATGCCTACTTATTCAAAGTTTTTTTTGATTGAATATAAAAGAATTTAAAAGTAAAAGAAAATTAAGAAAAAAAAATAAACTGAAGCTACAATAACATAGACTACTGAAACTATAACTAAGTTGCTTAAATTATAAAATCTATATAAATAAAAGTAAAGTCTCCAAGAAAATTTCTGGTTTGACTTAATAGTTTATTCCACCAATTTCTTATTACTTGTTAATATTGCTTTTATTAATATAGATAATAGAGTATAATTAATATTGTTTATTGTTATAATAATTGTTGTTATTATTGTTATACTGAAAAACCAGTTTGAACTGAATCAGTTTTTTCTTTGTTGTTTTAACAAAATCTGATTAGATGATTGAAAAATGACAATTATTTGAAAAGGGTAAACTGATTTTGGTTTTTTGAAAAAAAAATTTTAAAAATTATGAAATGGTACAATAAATAATGCCATGATAAAATTATATATAAAGGTTGTATTAAAACAAACTATAGATCCAATAACTTTATTTGAGTATGTTTTTTAAAAAGTGTTTGGTTTAAAAAGTATAATAATATTGATATGAATAGTTTTTATAATATAGTAAGAATAAGAAGGAGTACAAGAGAACAAAAGAAAAAAGAATTGTCCTGAATCTTTTTTTATATAACTAAAAGATAAGTATAACTTCCAAACTTAAGTAAACTTTAATCAGAGATTCCATTGCATTGCATCTGTTGTCTTAAAATTCTTAAGTTCTTGAGTTGAGACTTATTTGCAATAAAGAGTATTAAATATTTTTCTTACTTAAAATTACTATAAAGAAAAAAATTTTAACAAAATAGATACAATTAGAAAAGAGTTTTATAATTTGTTTAATTTTGATTTTATTTTACAAATTGATAAATTAAAATTATTATAAATAATTTATTTATTTATTTATTATAATTTAATTAAATCAAAAAAACTCTTTTCCACTCACCCCTACTTCATCAGAAAACTTTCTTTTTTAACAATTTTCTCCCTTTCCCCTTTCTCTTCCTTCATGCAAGATGAAACCTCAAGCAAGTCAAGTCTGAGCTATGCTGACACCACACAAGGCTTTTCTAACCGTTGGAGTTCAATATCTAGAAGAAGTACTCTTGCTTAGAGAAGCGTAAGCAGACCAAGCATGCGCATGTCAGCAGTCTGAGACAAGAACTAGAGAGGCCTGGACAACCAATCTTTTTTTTGCGAGATTCTGTATATATCTGGCAATCACAAGCCCGAGTGCAATTAATCTCCTTTTTTTATCCACTCGTCTATTCCCTTTCCCAACTTTCTTTACTCTCTCCTCTAGACAGATTTTTCTTCCTTCCTGGAATTTTTTCTTCCTAGAATTACTTATTTTAAACCTCACTATATCACATTATTCTATCATTCTTAACCAGACTGGGAACAGTTTCTTCCTACTTAAGATAGTGGGCTTGTCTAGTGAAAACCTATTCTTGGATGTTTTAGTTAATAGATACACATTTTTCTTTATTATAAATCCAAAAACTATGGTCAGCTTCCCCTCTTCAAAAGATTGGCAGAAAAGGATCATGTCATATCGGTTACTAGGCCACTGATATGGATAGAATCGTGACCATTAACCCCAACTGGCATGGCAGACTCCATAGCAAGAAGTATGTCAACCTACTTAGGCAACTTTGAAGAGGATCACTGTATGGTACCAATATATGGAGACTACTACCATGGCACCTTATAGGAGTTGCACCCTGCTTGATACTCGTAACCCTAAATTTGATAACTAAAGCCAACCAAGAACCTATGGAGTGTTTACTAAAGGATTTAGAAGTCACGTCCTACTAGACCTGTAGATCTTCAGATTTGATAGTGTATGTCAACTATAGGAATAACTCTTAGAGCATTTACTAGGAAGTGAAAGTAATAAGACCATGTGTATTATAAATTGGTGAGTGAACAGTAGGAATGTGAAAACAAACCTAATAAAGACTAATATACTAAAATATGATCAGACCTTCACAAAACTAGAGACACAAAATCAGGTAATTTAAAACTGAAGGTAGGATTTCCACCTTCTTGATGCCTCCCTCCCAGCATGTGGATCTACCCATGAGGTGCAGTCGATATGGTGGAATAAAAAAGCAATAGGCTAGCATTAACTTTAATGGATGCTTAATGTAATGACAGTACTATTACTTAGTAAATAAAGTTTCGCATTTTATGCCTGTTTGCAAAAAAAAAATAATAATAATAATTTAATTAAATCAATATATTTTAAAAATTTTTGTTTGATATAACAATGAATTTCAATAATACTGTATATTAATAAAAACCTATCAAGTAAATTTGTTTTTTATATTATTATTATTATATATTTAAATTTTTTTTTTATTTTATTATTTATTTATTGAATTGTAAATAAAAATATAACTTGAAAATTTGTTTAAAAACTTTTTAAACAAACTATATAAAAACATTTATTTATTATAATATAAAATATTATTGAAAATTAAAAAAAAAATCTTAATAATAGGTTTTATAAATAAATTTTAAAAGAAAATTAATATATTCATTATAATATTAAAATTTAACTTCTCAAAATATTATATTTTAACATAATAATAATTTTAAACATAAAGCAAAAATAGTTAAAAATAATAAAATAAATTATTTTTTGATCATTATAATTTTTGGATTTTAATTTCCTGATTATGTTCATTTTATTAAAAATTTTCCTTTTATGATAATTTTAAGCAAGAAAAAATGTTTTATACTTTTTATCGCAAGTGAGCTTCAACTCAAGAATTTAAGAATTTTCAAAATAACTGGTGCAATGGAATGGAACCTCTGGTTGAAATATATTTAAGTTTGGAAGTCTTGCTTATCCTTCAGTTATATAAGGAAAGACCCACGGCAATTCTCTTCTCTTTTGTTTTCTTGTACCCCTCCTTCTTTCTATTATATTTTAAAAACTATCCACATCAATATTATTATACTTGTTAAATCAAACACCTTCCAAAAAACACACTCAAACAATATTATTAAGTTTATTGTTTGTTTTAACAAAACATTCATATATAATCTTACCATGATACTACTTATTGTATTATTCCAAAATCTCCAAAAAACTGAAATCAATTTACCTCTTCCAGATAATCATTGCTCTCCAATTATCCAATCAGATTTTATCAAAATAACAAAGAAAAAACCAAACCTGTTTAAATCAGTTTTTCAATACAATAACAACAATAATAACTATCACAATAACAAACAATGTCAACTATATTTTACTATCCATGTTAACAAGAGTTACATCTCTAAGACCAGTGCTGGTACAAAGGCCAGACTATTGATCACCTTTTAGATATTCTTTTTGTTTACATAGATTTTATAGTTTAGGTAATTTAGTTTTAGTTTCAGTAGCTATTGTTATTGTAGCTCCAGTTTTTTTTTTTTTTTTAATTTTCTTTTATTTTCTATTTATTTTATATTCAATCAAAAAATTCTAAGCAAGTAGGCATGGCTGCTATTCAATTATATTTAGCATATATAATATTGTTTTAAAATTGTTTTTCAATATTAACTAGATATAGATGTGTAAGCAAGCTAGCATTTAACTTGTTGCATTTTTACACACAAGAGATATTGTTTCTTTTATAATGTATATCTATTATTATACTAATAAATAAAGTAATGATGTTTACTTATCGGAAAAAAAAAAATAATTTTTTTTTAGATTTTAATTCTATCAAAAATATTTAAAATAATATAAATAAAAAAGTTAATAATTTAAAGATTACTATTAAAAATAAAAAAAATTTCTATAATAATATAATAAAAATTTTAAATATAATATCTAAAGGCAAAAAATGATTATACAAATTGATAATAGCAATTAAATATATTTATATAATTTTTTCTATTTTTTTTAAAAACATCAAAAATTATATAACAGAAATTAA